ATTTATTTCAAAATGGTTATACTTTTAATGGGATTACATATCCATTTAGTATAAGAAAATTTCATTCTGATGCACCTGCTCGTTCACTGATAAAATGCTGTATAGGACATGGAGGATACAGATCCTGTGAAAAATGTACCGTTATAAAAAAGACTGTACATTCAAGACGGGTTTATCTTGAACTCAATGAACCTTTAAGAACAGACGAATCTCATTTAAAAATAGGGATCAACCTATTCATCACTGCGGACAATCACCTCTTGAACAGATTAATATAGGAATGGTTTCTCAATCAGGTTAAATCCATTTCACTTGGTTTGGCATGGAGTGTTAAACGATTGCTTCAAGTGTGGCACACATGGAATGGTCCGTGGAAACTGCATAGAGAAATAAGAGAGGATAATCTTTTCTTCTTCTTTCCTTAGCAGACACTTGTCCAAGGGATTTTGTTAAAAAACCAAGATCACTAAAAGACTGGACAATGTATAAAGCTACTGAAGAACGTCGTTTATGTCTTTATGATGGAATCGTAGTTTTTAAAGATAATCTCTAAAAAATGTTTACCATCATTTTTTACTGTTGCATAGCGCTCTTACTATCCTTTCTAGTCCCATGCTTGTTCAGTCAGAGATGATGTGTTAGGCCGATGATTGCTACGAGCATTTATTAATCATTCTGTTACATTTAGGGTAAATGTTTGTGGTATATAATGTGCATGCACTTGTTCATTTAGCTCAGAAATGTTTGTCTCATAGATCATTAGATAAGTTTAGTACCTTTCCTTTTGAAAATTGTTTAAAATCTCTCAAGAGTTCACTTCAATCAGGTTACAATCCTCTACAGCAAGCTGTGCGTCGTGATATTGAAAAAACAGTGTCAGTGTATCTTTCAACTAATGATAAAGAAATTATTTTGTCACATAGGCATTATTATTGTGACAAAGTCATTGAAGGTTCTCATTTTCAAAGTATTTCTATCGGTGACGTTGTTTTAAAGATTGGACGAAGAGATTCTTGTTTTATGACAGTTGACGGAACAGTATGTGTATTACTAAATATTGTGAAAAGACGAGAAAATATTTACCTAATTACAATAAATTTAACAAAAAAGAAGATTTTTATGAATATCCTTTTCCTTCATCTTATTTCGTATTTTTAAAGTGTCAAATGTGGATCATCAAAGAATTGTAGTAGCATTGACAGATATTCAAGCAAAATGGTGGTTAATACCCTACAAAGAAGTTTTTGTTCAATCCCTCTTTTGCATACTATGCCCATGTTTTAGCATTATATAATATATATATAGTCAACTTTTATATTTGTTATATTTGTATTTTTCGTTGTTTTATTTCAGTTTGTTTTAAAATTTCTATCTGATGACGACAGCGATATTTATTACGATATCGGCCTCACAAAATGGTTGATTGGAGTAAATAAAGATATGGAAGGTGAGACATATTGGCTACCACATAATGTTGAAGCTGGGAGCTTTGTCCGTAAAGAAATAAATGCGGACAAAACTTGGCCCAAACATCGCATACATGTCAAGAGATATCACGGTGTTTTCATTTATTAAAGTTTTTTTTCTTTTTATGGGTATGTGTATCGATTTATGTATGAGTTTTAAAAATTCTCGGCTTTAATAATATTTACTGTATGGTATTCAAATTATAGATGAATATGTAAAAGCACGAAACAATGTTCAAGGAATTACTAAACATGATGATTCTAATTATGAGACAAAAAAGGAATTAGGTAGAAATAAACGTAGAAAGATAAATAAGATTTATCTTCTTCAGACTCTGAAGAAAAAAAACTTGTAAAAAAATCGACCAAAGCAGTTGCACCTCCTCCAAATGTGCAACTACCTTGTAGTGATTTTTATGGTTCCGTTCCATCGTGTTCGCACGTCAATGAAAATCAAAATAAGAATTTAATATCAAAGTCAATTCGACTAAATCCCACAGATACAAAAGCAGCAAACTCCTTTAGCTATGGTATTAAAGAAAAGCACTACTTGTGCAAAATGTATTGGATACAAGAAAAAGGACAGCAAAGCAATTTCAGGAAAAATTGTCTTTACAATCACTTTCCAGCAACAAGTTATTACACTACAAATGCATTGAAGAAACAATCTCAAAAGCATCAAATAGATTCGATGCACATGCACACTGAAAATCAAAATATAAGCAGATATTGAAAGGGAGGGGGGGATTTCGAAAAATATGACATTTTCGACAAATCTGATTACATGATTTTGAAGTACATTAAAGATCATAAAACTTTTATTTGAAACTTTTGTTTATATCTCTTATCGCTTCGACGGTATTCGCTGAGAAATAAAAAAATCGATTTTTTTCAAGAAGGTGTTCACCCCCTTAACGGCCGAGTCAGCACTTATAAAAAAATACGTGTCTCCTATTTTGATCTAGACTACACACATATTCAAAGCTCATTAAAATCGGAGGGGGACACTTCCAACAGTTCCAACCCTTTCCTTGTAAGATAAGACACTTCGAATTTTTCTAATTTCTCTCTGCATTTACGCAAAGTCAATTAAGGGTGCGCAAGACTAATTTCCTTTTGCATATCATTCTCTAACTTAAGAAATCTCCATTCAACATTTTTATCAGATCTAATGATTTTAAATTATAGCAAGTATTCTTGTTATTAACCCAACTCTGTTCATAATTCCTGTCCTTATCCTCAAAATCTTGTATGCCCAAATCACCGAGCATCTCGTAATCCTGGTCGACAGTTTTTTTGAATGCCTGAGTAGCCGAACATCTTGTATGCTCTGGTCGACAATTTTTTGAATGTTTGAGTAACTGAGCATCTCGTATGCCCACCTGGCATTATCAGATGACACTTCCTCTCCCTTATTCATTTTCCATAAATAACAAGAGACATCTTTTATTTTATAATCTGATATAAATGTTCTTCCCTTCGCCGAACTCTCCTACCTAACTTATTAACTAACAATAATTCCCCTGTAGATGCACAACCAGAAATCTAAGAAAGCAAACAGAAAAAGAAAAAATCATAGAGCAAGCGCTAAAACATGCGCTGCACGCGTCGCCTCTCTTTTGCGCTCAATCAAAGAGCCAAGACAAACAAACCACGCATTAAATAAATTAAAAAGGTTTCCCTGGCTCCAGAAACTGTGCATCGATTGAAAACGGCGTCTACTCTAATTAACATTGACAAATCTTTTTTATATAAAGAATCAAGCTCTGAATAAATTGCGAAAAAGTTACTATTAACGACTCTTACAACCCTAATTACTTTACGATAACAGCCTCCACATTACAATTTCCCGAACTAACATCCTTTACTGTTTGGGAAAAGCGGGAGCTCTTCAGGGAATTGTTGTGTGCCTCGGGAGAGACACCAGGGGGTCGCGCCAAATTGGGATGGGAATCCGGGGCGTCAGGACTTGTCGGGTGTTTGTAGAAATGCACTGCACTTTTCTTATTAAAATCTTTATTCAACTTTAACCACTTGGCCTTTATTTATTTCACCAATATTACACTGAAGCTTTGCCGGGAGTGTGGCACTGACTTTCTATCACTCCGCGTATCGCGCACAACTGCGAGTCGATGCTAAGTGCGCGCGCGGTTAGCGAGACCGTGGTTAGAGCGATTGTTTGTGTCTGCGACTGAGCGAGTTGGCGCGTCTCTACTCTCTTTTTATAATGTTTTTTGGAGTTTTCCCGATCGGAAGGGGTGCCTGGCAACAGGTTTCCCCGGTTCGAGAATCTAGGTGCAAGCGAAGCAGATTCAAAGTCCTTCTGCTTTGCTTGCACGTTGACCAATTTCTGTTCCGCGTATATCTCGCATTGTATGCGTTTTTAACGCGGTCATTATTTGTCGTAATTCTGATTCCGCGTATACCTCGCATCGTATGCGTTTTTAACGCGGTCATTATCTGTCGTAATTCTGATTCCGCGTATACCTCGCATCATATGCGTTTTTTAACGCGGTCAGTGTCTGTCGTAATTGCGGATGTAATACGAGTACTCATTTCTTAATACTAGTTACCTTTTAATAGTTATATCTATATCTTTGGGGGATATAACAGAATATATTTCTCCAAAAGACCTCCACTTAAAGATTTAATGTCTTTATTAAAAATTCAAACACCAGAGGGTTCTATAGATATAGACGAATATATTAATTATCTAAATCCTTAATGTAAATCTACGACTAATAAAATAAATTTAAACTTCTATTGACTCCACTCTAAAAGTTACCTGAATACCCTAATTTCGAAATTCAACTCCTAACCAGTGATGGTACTTACGCCATAATTAAATTTTAAATTGATGTTTTAAGAAAATATTAGATATCGACCAATTCCTCATTTTAGATAATATACCATTTGCAGACTTAGAAATTGAAATAGAAATTTAATGGATAGTCATATACCACTTATAACCAGAATTATTTTGCAGATGAATTCTGACCAAGACTTAGAATTAAAATATCACGTAATTATAATATTATTAGTAAGCATAATATATGATTATCTAAAGGGAGAGATAAGTCTGAATCAGGTAATCTCCATTTTAGAGGACGTAGAGAAAATCATCACTACTAACGCCACGCCTACTCCTAACTAATATACCTTACCTTAAGTCCTGACTGGTCCCTAGACCCTCTACACTCATTGTCAGTTCCTAGCTCTCGGCGTCCCTTGGGTATAACCGGTGTATGCAGATTGCCCCACAAAAATAGAAAGCATTATTTTTTCCCTAACTGAGGCATAGAAAGAAAAACGTCACTCAGACGTGACAGTATTAATAGAGATGGAGGAGGAGAAGAATAAAAGAAATTATTAAAGAAGGGATGAGTATTAAGAAGGAAATGAGATATTGGGCTAGACGAGGACCTGACAATGAAGGAGCGAAGAATAACGTGGAAGATGGTAGTGGGCGCGTCGTGATCACGCCAAAATACTTAGCGATATACACAGAGAGACCAAAATACGAAATATGATTCGCTCTATTACAACAGTATATATTATTTTATTATAATTAAAGAACTAGTGTTATATAATTTGAGTTACGCGGGATTACGCTTTCTAAATGTATTTGCATATTCCGCGGTTCCAAGCCGAACATACTCTATTATTTTTTGCTGCCGACGGGCGACGGACGACCGCATAGGCAACGGGCGAGGAGAACGAAAGCGTAACTTTGATTAAATAAGGTAATCTCCTCTTTTATCTTGTATGTAAATTCTTTTTTTAAGATATATGAAGTATTATGAAAAATATTTTTATAACATTTTATTATAATATAATATGTGTGACACAAAATATTCTGCAAGTTTGAGGTTAATGTAAGAACATGACAAATTAAGAATTTATTTAGGCATTTTATGCAAAAAAGATGTAATGATATATAATGACAAAATCAACTTAATGTGTATCTGTATATCGTCGTTGCATCTTAATGTAGACTACTGTAGACAGATCAAAATTTGATATGCAATGGTGTATGTTTTCTGTCTACATTAATATACAACGATAATATGCGAATACACATTAAGTTTAATCGGCTATTATATCATTACATTTTTTGCATTAAATGCCTAAATTAATTATTATTTTGCCATCTGCTTACAAGTAACCTCGAACTTGTAGCAGAATACATTACTCCGTTACAATATTGAGTAATGTTATCAGTAATGCTATATATTTTAATCTTTGTATCTTTTCAGGAAGCAAAGTTTAAATATGAAGAACAAACAAGTTGCTGTACATATTGAGAATGTCACACATGCAAAGTCCTTGTGGTTCAGTCTTAGCGATTTTATTCAAGTTTTTCTTCATATCGAATAATTGAGTTCAGACAGCGAAAAGTTCAGGTATACAAATTCTTCTTATTATCATTGTGTTTCCAAGCAAACTTGTTTATGGGACATTGTTGCTTTGTATGTTGTGCATGTTTATTTACGATATATAATTGATGGTTTTACTTTGTTTTAAGTATCAAGATTTTAAAGCTATATATTTTGGTTTTCAAAAATTAGTTGCAAACAGTAAAAGAGTTTTTCAATGTTTTTGCTATAGATATATTAATACTCTGGCATAATTGTGGTAATTTTTTGCATTGATTTTGAAATTATTGTCGTGATCAAATTCGACAATTATTTTATTTCAAATGTTTTTTTTATATAATGGTTTTTACTATATATATATATATATATATATATATATATATATTATCTTTATAAATCAATACATACATGTATTGATTTATAAAGATAATAATTTTATTAAAATACCTTTGTTTCTTTGAGTCAAAATATTTTCTCTAGATATATAATCGTATAAACCGCACTCGATAAAAAATAAAAAGAAAAGAACATTTCAGAGGGAAGAAAAATATATGTTGATAATGTTAAGCAGTAGAAAATTTATATATGTAGCTATTATATATATATAACGTATTATATGTATAATACACATATAATTTATTATATATAATATAGAATTATTTTATTCATTTTATAAATTAGGCAAAATCTATTTAAAAATCTATCTTTTAAATTAAAAGATACATGATTTTCATTTGTTTTCTTAAAATTCAATTATAAAAAATTTAAATTTATAAATATAAATGTTATAAATTAAAAGAATTAATTTTTGAATAGTTGCTTGAGATAAAATTGAATATTTAAAATTGAATATTTAAAATTGAATACAAAATGGACACACTGTATATTGTGAACACAGATAACTTGTAACTATATATACTATTTAATGGACACCTTATACGTTCCAACTGCTCTTAATAACAGTTGCTATCGCAAATAAATAAGCCCTAGATGTTCATTTATTTCCTCCGAGATGTTTGTTTCCTGTTTCCTCTCGCCTTCGAGTGCAATTCACAATTATATCGAGTTTACATCTTTTATCGAATGCAGTTTACTATTTTACAAAGGTACTTCAATAAGATTATTTTCTTTAATCGATATACATATAAAGGGCAAAACACTATTAATCTTTTTTCCTCTCTTACACACTCTCTTTCCTTTATTCAACCTCACTCCTCTCTCTTTTTCTCTCTCACTCTCTCTCTCTTTCTTTTTTCTTCTCTCTGCTTGAGGAAATATGTCACAGGGCGCAAAATAAATGATGCTTTCTCTCTCTTCCTTTCCCGTTCTTCCTTCTTTCCCTATATTCTATATCCATTAACAGTATTCTAAATGTATTGTATTATATTTCTGTAGAAATTTTTTGCTTCTCTTTTTCTTCTTTTTTTAGTTTCATTTTCTCTCTTTTCCACATCTCTTTGTTAAAAACGTTATTTTTTTATTTTTCATTTTGAACACTTGAAAATTTATCAAAAAATTGAGCTTTTTAATTATTTAAAAGCATTTTTTAAATTTTTTATTCTTACAAAATAACTTATATTTATATATGTATATCTCTTTATGTATGTATATCTCTTTACAGATCTAAACTCTGAGACGAACTTCCGCATATCAATTGATTGTGCCTCATTTATAAAAGGAAGAGTTACACAGAAGTAATTCTGTAACAGGTAGACTCCACAACGCTGACTCTATAACGCAGCTCCATAAAGCAGAGTCCATAATACACCAAAAACAAGGTATGAATTTTACATTATACATATATATACATTTACATATATTATTTACATATATCATACATTTACATTATACATATATATATATATATATATATATATATATATATGTATAATGTAAATGAAACATAAATAGCCAAATGTTTAGCGAGTTATAAAGCCGAAATATTACATATAATTGTGATAAAATATATAAATTTTTTATTAAAAGATTGTAATATTTGAAGATGATTAATAGTAGCATAATTGCGACTCATATATATATATATATATATATATATATATATATATATATAAAAACGGCTTTCAAAAAAAAAAATTACTCAAGATTAGTTACTCAGAATTATTACTCACATTATACGTTTCTAACTAGCCTTGTTAATATATTTTATTTATCTTTTCACAATGAATCTGTATTATATTGGAATGCTCATTGCATTGTATAAAGTTGGGTGCGACCAAAAATAGCTAATAAGTATCATCTTGCCTTCTAATTTTGATACGTCATACTTAATAATTTAGTAATTTAAGTGGTCTGTTCACTTTTTTTGTATTAATTTTATTATTTTCTCTGTTTTATAGTCTTAAAAAGTATTCGTTTTTTCAATAGTGTATTTAAACTTTTGATCAGTAGTGTACAAGTGTTTCCAGATGTTCTAGAACGGCTGAATATCTTCAAAAATATGTATTTTTATGTTCTGAGAAAAATATTTGAAACAAAAGTTGACAGATTAAGAATTGATTCTTCATTTCGACATCTTTGATTTCGCTGCGCGATTTCCCTTCCAAAAACAAGAATCGAATCACCGACCGATATTGCTCTTTTTCCATTTTTCTAAAATCCGCGGATACGCCCGCTTCCACACGCGGTCAAAACAAAACTACGAGTCCAATTCGGCTGAAATTTAACAGTAGCCGTCTACGAGAATGTACTACACGATAGTAAAACTCTCTTGCGATACTGGCACCATCGGGCGATGAGGCTAAGTACTTATCGGACTGCCCTCGTACCTGATATTCAATTAAGCAACATATTTGATTCTTCAACTATTGACCAAAATGCTAATGATCATATAGTACAACAAATTCCTTGTTCTACGCATAATAACAAATCACTGCATAATTCTGATATTCAATTATCAAGTAATAATAATCAACCTGACACTATTAATGTTAATCAATCTACTAAAATCTCAGAGAAGAACGTTACAAAAGATAACATAATTCAAAGTGATACGTCTGAAAGTACAGTACCTAGTGGTGCTACAGAAATTTTGAATACTATTGGCGATGATTAGTTAACATCTTCAACTGAAAAAAATGATAATGATCTTAATGTTAACAATAATTATCATAATCATGATAATCAAGAAAATGAATGTAATAATAGTGACAAACTAGCAAAAACCTCAGATTATTCTTCAAATCAAAATAATATAATAGTTCCAATAATAATAGCACTAAAATACTAGTAAAAATTCACAGTTTCATTCGACAGATAACTCATCAATGGAAATTAATCCTGTTCGCGACTCATTACCTCTTGATATTCGCAATATACAAGTTCCTTGTTCAACAAATTCTTTGAAAAGAACAATCAAGAAACACTTTTGTCCATACTGTAAAAAATTACAAACAAAATTTGCTCGACATCTGGAAATAAAGCATAAGACGGAAAGTGATGTCCAAAAGTTTATACATATTAAAAAAGGAACTCGTGAAAGAGCAAAACTTATTTCAACTATCCGTAATCACGGCAACTTATTACATAATACGCATAATGAATTGAATACAGGCATATTAATAACAGTGAGACAGCGTCAAACTAAATATAAAAAATCTGTTGACAATTATATTTGTTGTACGAATTGTAAAGGTTTTTATTCAAAAGATACTATACGTATCCACTACAATAAATGTAAAGCAACACATAAGAAAGGTGTGCGTGAAATCACTGTTATGGGTAGACGATTAACAGGATATAATCATACTTCTGCTTGTGAAACTCTTCGTGAAATTGTATTCCCCGTTCTAAGAAATGACGCAGTTACAAAATGCATCCAGTATGATGAATTAATAATATTATTTGGTAATAAACTCTGTGAAAGATATACGAGTACTCACCAACACGATATGATAAGAGCACATTTAAGATTGCTAGGACGTTATAAACTTGCCATTCAAGAGATTGATAAAGAAATTGATGATTTTCAATTGATTTTTTAGCCACAAAATTTTAATTCAGCTGTAAGCGCTCTTAGAAAAGTTGCTAAGTGGAATACATCTATAATGTGGTTTAAAACACCTGCAGTTGCTAATACATTGACCACTTTATTAAAAAAGTGTGCAAATACATTAAAGGCTGAATGTATAAAAAAAACAAGATTATAAGAGAAAACAGGCTGTTGATGATTTCCTAATTTTGTGGCAAGATAAAGTTCCAACTGTAATAAATAAAAAAGCTGTGGAAGATCAAATAAAATATAAGCGACAAAAGAAAATTATTATTCCATCAAAAGGACATTAAATTATTATATAATTATTTGAAAAAACAATGTGAAACTTCTCTTTATACTTTAGAAAAAGAATTCGATTTATCATCATGGAAAACTTTAACTGAATGTACATTAATCTTGATTCAAATACTCAATCGTAGAAGAGCGGGTAAAATTGAAAGACTTACAATAGCAGATTACAAAAATCAGGAAATATTAGATAAAAATGTAAATCCGGATCTTTATGAGAAACTCTCTGAAGAATCTGAACAATATGCAAAAAGATTTGCACGAATAACTATTCGCGGCAAGTTAGGTAGAACCGTATCTGTTTTACTTTACGCAATTGTAATAAAATCTATAGATACGATTCTTAAATATCGTAAACAAGCTGGAGTAAAATCTAATAACGAATACATCTTTAGTGTTTCAAACGCTGGTAAATTAAAAAAAAAATACTTAAGGGCCTGTCCTCTTATAAGAAAATTTTCTCATAAATATGGTGCAACTATTCCTTCTTCTCTACGGGAAACTATGCTTCGGAAACAAATTGCTACGTATACTGCAATGTTGAATATTGAAGATACTCAAGTCGATAATCTTGCTAATTTTATGGGACACGCCAAAGAAATACACAAAAATATTTATCGAGTACCGGTTCCTGTAAGAGAAATGACGGATGTATCTCGATTACTGGAGGCAGCAATGGGAAATGAAAACGAGAATGATAATAATGAAGATGATATCTCTGATACTGGCAGTGTATCGCAATTAAGCGTCATATCTGAAGAAATTGCACAAAGAAACATTTATATGTCAGATTCCGATGATAACGATGATAATGATAACACCGAGAATTCTACTGATGCAAATAGCACTTCTTTTGAATGTCATAATAGTGAGTTATTTTGTTTTTATTTATATATATTCAGTATTAATTATATTTATACAATATAAATAATAGATTCCATTTTATCTATTTTTCTAATTAAAAATGTACTTTTTATTATTTTATAATTGAATTAATTTCTTTATTTTATTTAGCTTCTCAAAATAAAAAAGGAAATTTGAAATGCAGTAAAGGAAAAAAACAATCTCGTAAACGTCGTAGCAGTGAGTTTTATTATTTATATTTATTTAATATGTATTAAGTAAATTTTGTTTTATCCTTTATTAATATTTCTTTATAATTTTGTAATATGTTTGTTATTATTATATACATTAATAATATTAGCTTTTTTTTATTTAATTCAGCTTCTCCATATGGAAAAACAAAGCGTATAAGGTGGAGTAAAGAAGAAAAAAATTCAGTTTCTAAACATTTTGGCAACATTTATACATTATCACAATTGCCATCTCTTCAAGAGTGTCAAAATGCAATTAATAAGTATAAAAGTTTAAGAAAGAGACAACCTCAACAAATAAAAACATGGATTGATAATCAACGAAGAGCTGAAACTCGTCATAAAGCATATCAGATTTCGACAAAATTAAAGTGATTTATTATTTGCTTTTTGTAATTACTATACTACTTTTCATATTCGACAGATTAATATTCTCTTTATGTTATCTTTGCATTTTTCTTCTTTTACCTTTTTTCGCCTCTGATATTTCAAAACCTTTTTCCTTTTAAAAAAACTGTGAGACGACCCAACTGGCTTAAATTAATTCTTATTCTTATTAGTTTGATGCCATATACAAGAAAAGACGTCTTTTCTTGTATATGGCATCAAACTAATAATAATAGAAATTAATTTAAGCCAGTTGGGTCGTCTCACAGTTATTTTTAATTTTATTCATCACTGGCGATACAGATATCTACTATAATTTTTTTCCTTTTGTTCTACTTTTATCATTTCTATTTTTCCATTTTTTACTTATTTTTCTTATTCTTATTATTCCTTTTTCTACTTTTTTGTTTATTTTATACTCTTCAACACATTTTTTTATATTTTTCTATATAAAGCTTTACTTATTTTATTTTACTTATCTACTGATCAATATTATCTTAACGCTAATTAGTTAAATATAGAAATGTATTCATTCTAATTAATATTTTAATTTTAAGGAACTTTTTAATTTTAAGGAACAATATCAAAGATACAAGTACCAATAATATTATTAACATGTAAACTATACAAATCTCAAACAAAATCAAAATAATTCGTTAAATAATAGTTTTAAGTACGTAATGTACTTTTACGTTAAACTAAAAGTGAAACTTTTAAACAAAAGAATTTATTTTATCATAAACATTTTTTTAGTTAATTTTTGTAAACGTCGCAATCTAATAGTATAAATGTGGTAGTAATTTAATCAACCATATTCTAATAGTATAAACTTTATTTTATTTAGTAATCATTTAATGTCCCAGGTAGCAAGCACACGTCATTTTGACGTCGAATACTAGTCATGTTCGTACGAATGACGTCAAGTGACCAGAAACTGACATCATATTTGAATGACATTATAATGACGTCATTATTTTACGTCAGTATGATGTAATATTTAAGTCCTATATTCATTTTATAATGACGTCATTATGTAGTACGTCAGTATGACGTAATATTTAAGTCCTACATTCATTTTATTTACGTATTTTGGTGTCAAATCTAAAAAAGGATGCCATTTATTTAAACAATTAATATAAATATATAGATATAGGCATTTAAGAGCCGAACGCAAACGTACAATTTTTATAGGTAGATCCTATACATATTAAAATAAAAAATATATGTATGAGAATATTTGCAACGTCATATTGACGCCGAATGACGTCATTAGACGTAAAAATAACGTCATTTTGACGTTTAATGACGTTAGTTTGCCACCTGAGTACAATCATCGTGTCGAAGTAACAAAAGCAAATAGAAAGCGTTTGCAACACTTGCGAGCATTAAATATGTCTTTTTTTTTGGTAAATAATAAAAATAAAATAATGCCACGAGCATTGCGAACGTAAAGTACGTGAAACAGATCACGCGCATACAATCGTCATTTATCGCGCATGTTCTGTTTGCTACATCGGCGCGGAAAAATTATCAGTCTCATTGTCAGGTTAGGGTTAGGTTCACGTGCTTTGTGTAAATCCTGCTTGTTCAGACGCAAACGAAAAATTCCGTATAAATTTTTAATTATTTATTATACGTTATATATTTTCTTGATTATATAGTCATTACTGAAATGACTTTTGTTGGCGTCGAATTTATTCTCAATGATAGTGATAATGAAGCATCAATTGCTTTAGTACATTGTTCATGGTTAACGCCACGAAAAAAAGAGGTTTGGTGGCCTCCGTATAAAACTGGTGCACAATTTAAGAAAGCACTCTTCCGCGAAGAAAAGCCAAAAGATCAAACATGGACATTATACGGTATTAAACAAATACTTTTTTCTTGTGGTATGTATACAATATATATATTTATGAATGTGTGTGTGCATATTGAGTATATTGAGTGTATTGAATATATTATAATTGTTTATTTAGTTAATATTATTATATATTTTATATTGTGATATTTTTAATTAACAAATTTTATTGCATAAAAAATTAGGTTATGTTTATAAAACTTGAATTTAACTATGTTATCTTTGTTAATTATAGATGAATATCAGAAAGCTAGTAAAAAACTAAAAAAGTGTGAAGAGTTTTCTGATGTACAGTCTTCTCCAGTGGAAGATAAAGAGCAACCAAAGAAAAGACAGTCAAACGAAATTCTAAATACATATCTACTAGTGAAGAAGAGGATGATGAAAGTGACCATTCTTTACGTCGACCACCAAAAATTTCCACATTTGGTAAAAATATTTTTAATTAGAAATTTAAATTTTTAATTAATAATTATAAATCTAATTTTATCTTTTTGTAAATATTGGAAGCATTTTGTTATCTAAGCATTATTATGTTTAGCACATGCGCTACAAGATAAACATAAAAAATCTTTAACATCAATGCCATCATCAGTATCTATGACATCAAAAGACCTACCAGAAACAGGTATAAAGAAATAGCAAAATATTAAAAAAAATAAAGCACCATATATTTTTGAAATTTTGTTTTCTAATTTTTCTTTAAATTTGTTATATTACAGTATCGCAACAAGACATGAATTCAGATTCTTCTGATATTCCTGCACACAATACTCCTAATAGGAGATTAAAAGAGATAGATTTTTTAAATAGAACCACAATACCATCACTATCTTTAATTGTTTCCACAAACATCAGTTCTCGATCAGAATCTGTAAATTCAACTCTTAATGAAGCAAATGGAGTACCATATTTTCGTAGCCTTACTGGTATGTCTTATTATTATTCTATAAAATAAAACGATATTTTTTTATATGCTAGAATGATTGCCTATTTATATTAAATTTTTCAGAACAAATTTTTACTGAAATAAGAAAAGTGCGAGAACAAGTTAAAGAAATGTATGGAATATTGAAGCACTCCAACACTCAAGGTGGCATGCTCTCTATCCCAAATAATTGTCCTGTTGAGTTTCCATTGAAAACACGCGAAGAATTGCAACTATTAGAAAATTATTTTAGCTCCCGTGAAAATAAACACGCTGTGGTATATATACAGGGTTGGCCATATTAGGTGGACCCATTTATTTAAAAGAAAAACATAAAAAAAAAACACATTTTTGCTGTTCAAGTGAAAAATCATTTAGCGTTCGATTGATGGTTGCTCCATAGCAAAAATCTCCTAAGACTGACGCTTCGAACACGTGCTATCATTAGTCATTCTCACATTCCTTGTCAAAGTTACAGTGTTACCAGATGGGTCCACCTAATATGGCCAACCCTGTATTTATTTAAATCACATGTTTTAACATACATATACAGACACATATTATTATTATACTACTACTACTATAACTACTACTACTACTACTACTACTATTACTATGTATGTGTATGCATGTGTTGTGTATATGTACATATATGTGTTTATACGTGCATTGATGTTAATTTTTTTAATTATTTTACAGTCATTGTTCTTCTCAACATTAGGAGGTGACACTACTACTGCAAGAACTAATAAAATTTTAAAACACGTTTTAACTAACGAACTTGCGAAAGGTTTTAACTTTGCAGGACACAAAAATAAGGAAGCTTTTGAGAAGCTTTCTTTGAAGACTGTGATAATCCGTAAGTTTGACAATATTAAATATTTTACAAAAATTAATTAAAATTGATAAAAAATAAAATTTCTTTCTTGATATAATATATAATTTGTTATAAAATAAATTGTTTAAAATTTTTCTGTTTTGTTTATAGGCGGTGTGCAAATAAAATCACCTTCAACCACAGAAAAAGATATTGAGGATGCAATCAAAACTTGGTTAAAACACGCTTCTGACAGATTAAAGGAAAGTTTGAAAAAAATAACAAAGAAAGGTTATAAAATTTAAATATTATATTCTACACGTATGTATTACTTTTTATTTTTATTTTGTCTATTGATAAATTAATAATTTTATTTTTTAAGTTTGCATTATTTATTTTAATAATTGGTTGTCAAAACATATCTTTTTTTCTTTTATTTGTAAAAATTTATCATTATGTTAAAAATTAGACGTAAACGTAAAGAATTTGTTGGACGGCGCCAACAATATCGAAGAGTAACGCAAGCTGTAAACAAAATATTTGCTGCTAATGTTTCTAATAGAACACCTTGTAATAATTTGAACCTATCAAACGAAATATATAATGAATCGTTAAATGATTTAGATACTAATAGAATTACAAGTACTAATAATGAAACGAGCAATACTGAAAATTTTGAAAATGTTATTGTCTCTTTAAATTTTCAAAACAATAACTATTTAACCATTGATGCCGTATTTAATTTTTCTAATAAGGTAATAAATAATTCTTCTGACACAGATATAAACAGTAGCTTAGATGATCAAAGTAATTTTATGTATGAATTAAGGAAATGGGCCATTGAAAGACACATATCACATTTAGCTGTAACAGATCTTTTGCGCATACTTTCCCCTTATCACCCAGAATTACCATTAGATTCCCGTACATTATTGAAAACTCCAATTTTTACGCAAATTAATAAATTAGAAACTGGAGAATTTTGTTATTTAGGTTTGAACATAGCTTTGAAAAATGTATTGTCACAAAAGCATACCCAAGAATGTTTAAAACCTGGTGAAACATTAAAAATCTGTTTTAATGTAGATGGTATCCCATTGTTTAAAAGTAACAAATTACAACTATGGCCTATTCTGGGACTTATTAAAAATTTTCGTAGTATTCCATTCAGTATTTCAATTTTTTGTGGTACGTCGAAGCCTAAACCTTTAAATCTTTTTTAAGGAATTTTATAGATGAATTAAATAATTTATTAGAAAATGGATTTGATTTTAATGGGAATCACTTTAAAATAGAAATTCATAGTTTTATATGCGATGCTCCTGCTCGTGCTTTTTTAAAATGTACAAAGACACATTCGGGATATTCTTCATGTGATAAATGTGTTGAACCTGGAGAATATTATAAAAATAAAGTTGTTTTTACAAGTGAAACAGCTCAAAAGCGCACAGACGAATCTTTTAGAAAACATATAGATGATGATCACCATCGTGGCCCATCTCCTTTAATAGATTTACCTATAGATTTAATAACATCTTTTCCCACAGACTACATGCATAACATATGTTTAGGCGTAATGAGAAAGCTATTAAATACATGGATTGGAGGTTCACTAAACGTTAGATTACCTAACAGAAAGGTACAAGTGCTCTCACAACGTCTCATTAATTTACAGCCATTTATTCCATTGGAGTTTAATAGAAAACCTCGGTCATTAAATGAGCTAGCGTATTGGAAAGCCACAGAGTTTAGAACTTTTTTGATTTACATCGGTCCTTTAGTTTTAAAAGATATTGTAGACAAAGCTATTTATGAAAATTTTCTATTATTGCATGTTGCTATTTCTATATTAATATCACAAAACATATAAATAATTTTGGAATTTCATTTGCACGAGAATGCCTACTAACTTTTATCAATCATTGCAAAAATAAATTGTACGGTCTAGAATTTGCTGTTTACAATATTCATCTCTTAACACATATATGCGACGACGTAGAAATTTATAGTCCTTTAGATGAATATTCTGCGTTTCCGTTTGAAAATTATCTTGGTAAATTAAAAAAATTAATAAGATCTTCTAATAATCCATTACAGCAAATACATCGTCGAATTCAAGAAATAAATTGTTCTTCCTTAGAAATAAATAAATGTAACTTAAAAGAAGTCAAAGCTAAATATTTTGTTGACATGGAACATAAAAATGGACCTTTATTAAACAATAATTCTTGTCAATGGTACAAACAATATAAAAAAATCAGTTTTACAATTTGTCATTTTCTATCAATCGCTACAGCATTGCAGACAGTTATTGTAGTTTGAGTAACGCAGAAGTAATAGAAATACATAATATTGTAAAAACAACAAATGGTGATATTTTCGTTATTGGAAAATATTTTATTAAACAATCACCATTATATCTATACCCGTGCGACTCATCGCTACTTAATATATATATTCTCAAAGATTTTAGTAATCTCAAAATATGGGCTATTAGTCTCATTAGCAGCAAATGTATTGTAGTACCTTATATTAATGATAATACTTATGTATGTTTTCCAATCATACACAACATTGATTAATATTCTTTTATTATTAATTTTTAGTTTAATATTTGTGAAAATTTATTTATTTTAATTTAGCAATCATAATGTGCAATGCATATTGTGCAATTTGAGATAGCTATTAATATAATCACAAATATACATTATTATTATTATGATTCTACAGTTTATATAATAATAAGTTTTTATATTATATACATATATGACTATTATAAAATAAGTTTTTGATAATTATATTCGTACATAATATATTTAAAAAATTTCTGTTTATATTAAAATTTGATAATTAATAAAAAATTTATATGTATACATATATTTACATATTTTATCCAAGTTTTATATATGTGTGTGTGCGTGTGCGTGCGTGTGTGTGTGTGTGTGTGTGTGTGTGTGTGCGTGTGTGTGTGTGTGTACTATAAAAAAATATTAGGAATCAATATTAAATATTAGGAATAAAAATTATTTTAAAGTAAAAAATTGAATAAACCTTGATATATAAATTAGAGTATAAAAGTCTTATTAGTCCTTTATACTCGAATTTGTATTTTTATAGCAAAGTTTTTTCGATTTTAATATTTTAAAATAATTATTCCTAATATTTAATATTTATTCCTAATATTTTCTCTATTGTGCGCAGGGTCTAAGAACGTCTTAATAACGTCATTATATTAATCAGGAAAGACGTCATGAAATAACGTCAAAATGTGGTTCTAATAACGTCATTATATTAATCAGAAAAGATGTCATGAGATGACGTCAAAATGTGGTTCTTTTCGTGACGTCAACAGTCTGTGACATTAGACCGTCATTTTTACGTCATAAAAACGTCAAGTCATGACGTCACAAGTAGTCAGTGACTGACCAATTTGAGACGTCAAAATGACGTGTGGTTGCTACCTGGGGTATTGTTGTATGCGATAGTGTTTTATTAAAATGTTATACTTTAAGTATTCTTTTATACATATAAAAAGTTTCAATTTTTTCAAATTAAATATCTTATTTTTACTGCGTAACATCGATATAATAATATTGATAAATCTTGCTTTTTCTGTATTAGTAAACATATTGATTATATTTAATATTTTAATTTTAAGGAACTTTTTAATTTTAAAGAACAATATCAAAGATACAAGTATCAAATAATATTATTAACAAGGTGTGTAATATTATTAACATGTAAACTATACAAGTCTAAAAAACAAACTAATTCGTTAAATAATAGTTTTAAGTACGTAACGTATTTTCACGTTAAATTAAAAGTGAAAATTTTAAACAAAAAAATTTATTTTTCCATAACAAACACTTTTTAAGTTGATTTTTGTAAACATCGCAATCTAATAGTATAAACTTTATTTTATTTAGTAATTATTTAATGTATTGTTGTGTAACGGCGTGGCCGTTACTAACGCCTCGCGGGCCGATCACCCGCCCGCCACTTGAGGCTATGGCGCCTAAGGCGCCCCTAAACGCTAAAACACAAGCGATACACGGGTCACCCTACCCCAGGGGCGCCCCACTACAACCCCCAGAGGCGCCCCACTACGACGCCGGCGTTACCCCCCCACAGCCTCGATGTAGAGTGGGGGAACCGCCGGCAGGGTATATAAGCCGGCTCGACGGATGAGCCGGCACCAGTCCTGTTCCGGACCTCCTAGCCAGGCAACGGGCTTCTCGTTGTTACGCCGGGTTTCTCGGTTTCTGGCCTCCTACCTTTAGTATCGGGCAACGGGTTTCTCGTTGTTACGCCGGGTTTCCCGGTTTCCGGTCTCTTCCTGCTGTACACCGGGTGACGGGTTTCTCGTCATTACGCCGGGTTTCCCGGTTTCCGGTCTCTTCCTGCTATACACCGGGTGACGGGTTTCTCGTCATTACGCCGGGTTTCCCGGTTTCCGGTCTCTTCCTGCTACACTCCGGGCAACGGGTTTCTCGTTGTTACGCCGGGTTTCCCGGTTTCCGGTCTCTTCCTGCTACACTCCGGGCAACGGGTTTCTCGTTGTTACGCCGGGTTTCCCGGTTTCCGGTCTCTTCCTGCTATACACCGGGTGACGGGTTTCTCGTCATTACGCCGGGTTTCCCGGTTTCCGGTTTCTTCCTGCTATAGGCTATACGCCTCCGTACACCGTATCTCTAAGTTATACCGGGTAATTTGTAAATCTTTTCCGGACACCGCTACAGGCTATACGCCTCCGTATTTTGTTTATACCGGGTAGTCAATAAGTTTCTCTATTTAGGCTTTATGCCAACAAACTTTTTGTTTATTTGTTTCTTTTGAATAAACCAAAGCATTGTTAATAAGGAATAAGCGAGTCTGAATCTCCCCCTTCCTCCCGAATCCTGGAACCGGCGAGCCGATCCGCGGCGTCGGGAAAGGTGAACCGTTACAGTTGTATGCAAGGGCGTCCGCAGGGGGGGCAAACCGGGCACTTGCCCCCCCCCTGGAAAAGCAAATTTTTTCACAAATTTATGTTTTTTGAAGCTTGTTTGAAATTTCTGCTTAACAAATTAAATCATGTATTAATTTGTGAAAAATTATTAAAATTTGTTATAACGATAAAGCTGCCCTTTCATACAGCGAATTTTTCGTTGCGTGAATTTGCACTTTAATTTGTTATTCGCTAGCAGAGTTGCAAGATTTCAACCTGAGAGTCACAGAGTCATGGCGATGGGGGAGCACGCACACAGCGAGAAGGCATGTCCGTAGATGCCGGAGCGCTCACGGACACGTCTTCTCACTGTGTGCGTGCTCCCCCAC